GAGGAAAATGTGGCTTAGAGAAGTTCAGGACATGGTCCCACGTTATGCCACTGTGCTGGGAAGTGGCATAGTTAGGATTCAACCATAGTTTTGTCTGGCTCCAAAACCTGTGCTCTTCCCTTTACATTCTGGTGAAGCCTAATAATGGGAACTTTAGATTCAGACCAGTGTTGGTTTAAGGCAGACATGCTCTCAGTTCTCCTCTAATGGATATAAGTAGAAGGTTTCCCGGAAGGAATGGTATTTCTAGATGTACAGAATGATGTGAGGCAGCTGTTTCAGCAGGCAGACGTTAAGGACGCCGGAAACAGCCTCAAAGGCTTGAGAGTTTTCCAGTTATCCAATTTCTTACATAATCATTCTTTACCAAAATTAGTTTATCTGAAATTCATTCTTGATTTATAGCATTCTTAGTATACCACTAGATTTCTTTTTAACCTGTAATAAATAGGACAGTATTCAGATCCTATGAAGAATTACACGTCATTGTTGAGATAGGAGATGTAGTGATGAATGGGAGTATTTTCTCCCTTGGAAATTAGGAAGATTGAAGTAGAATCTAGTAAAACATAGAGTTGATGATACGGTGAAAGAATTATTATTTTAATGTATTGGACTTTGGTAAATTTCCATTCTAATGTAGTGAAAAGTAATTCTGATACTGTTTGAAGTTCAGGTGTTTTAAATGCATTTTCATTTATCTATATATATAGTTGCGATCAGCATGGATGTGTTCATTCTGTTTCTTCAGTATATCAGCTCTCAGAGTCTTGACTAAGAGGCAATAATACAAAACATCCGTGCTACTCTGTAGATATAACCACTATGGGAATGACAGAAAAAAATTAAATTATTTTAATATTAGTTATCATGACTCTGGTTGGTGAAGTGATATTTACGGAAGAAAATCTTGGCCAGGAATCATTTTTCTAATTTAAAGCTTAAGACTTAACTGCTAAATATTGTTCATTTAATTTACATATAACTTGAAAATCAGTTTGTATGGCATTTTTAAGTTTTGTTTTTTGTTCTTTTAATTTAAAAAGAAGTGCTTTATAAGAGGATAAATACGTACAGGCATGCAGGCATAGCTTCTTTTATTATGCTTCGCTTTATTGAACTTTGCAGGTACTGTGTGTTTTACAGCTTATGTCTAACAAGTTTATTGGTGCCATTTTTCCAGTAGCATTTGCTCTCTTCATGTCTCTGTCTCACATTTTGGTAATTCTCGCAATATTTGAAACTTCATTATTGTTATATTTGTTATGGTGATTGGTAATGTGATTATAACTTGCTGAAGGCTCAGATGATGGTTAGCATTTTTGAGCAATAAAGTATTTTTTTAATTAAGGTATGTACATTCTTTTAGACATGAAGTTACTGCATACTTAGTAAACTACAGTACATGGTGGAAACATAACTTTTATATGCACTGGGAAGCCAAAAAATTCATTTGACTTACTTTTTTCGCTTATTTGCTTTGTTGTGGTGTCTGAAACCAAACTGCAGTACCCCCCTCCATGCCTGTAACTCCATTCCAGGAACTGAAATGCATTTATTAATTCCAATCAACTAACAACCAAACTAGATTTTTAAACATTGTTTTTTCCTAATTACACCACACATATATAAATGTATCATGTAAGTAATGATTTGATGGTTTAATGATTCCTTATAGCTGTTCTGCCAGGATGGTGCTTATTATCTATGTATGTTTCCTTATATTTTTGGTAAACATTTTTTGTATTCACTATGTAGAGTAGGCCTTGAATACATAATTTTGGGAGGTGTTTTGTACTTAAATTTCTATTTTGAAATTAGAGATTCATAGGCAGTTGCAAGAAATAATACAGAGGTCTCTTTACCAGCATGTAACCTTTACCAGCAATGGTACTCATTTCTCTCTGTTGGCATTTTGTATAACTATAGTAGCACATATGTTTTCTTTTTCCAGTACTTAATTTTGATGAACTGTTTTCAGTTGTCCATGTTCTCACATGCTCTTTCTCTTTTCATCTTTTGTTTTATTGTAAACCTGACAAGGAAAGAAACGAGCCTCATTAAATCTGACCCTTTAATGTTTGCCATTCCTGTGTGGGTTTGAATGTCTGAGATACTGGCCACTAAATAAACAAGCGACTTCCAAAGGAAAGGGGGTATGTTGGGTTTGGCTCTTAGATTCAGTACTTGGCATTTCCACATCATTGTGTACAGAGCAGAAATAGTAAACCTTTCAAAGATGCCTGACCACCTCTGGGCCCTGGGGCCGCTTGTGCCTCTGCTCCTTGTCTGCAGGGGCACCTTCCATGGGCTTTCTTGTTCTCTCCCTCCCCCACCACAGACTTGACTTTCCTCCCCATCTACTTTCCATCCGCCCGTCTGCAAGGAGGTACTCGGTTCTGCCTCATCCCAGGCCAGAGTGGAGTCCCAAGGCACTGTGGGGCCCAGGAGGGTGCACTTCCCAGCGGAGCGCTCTCCATGCCCTCTGACCCCCTGAACCCCGAGCCAGCTCCCTCTGACGGTGTCCTCTCCGACCTCGCAGAAAGCTTCATCCGGTGGGAGCCCCCCTGCCCTCTCACCTGCCGTCTGCCCAGCTTCTCTTCCTGCCTTGCCAGGAACCTTACTCATTGCTTCTTCTCTTTTCACATGTCTAGTTTTTGTCCCCTCTCTGGGTCATCACCGTCAGCATTTCTTAGGCATTTCCCAAGCTTAAACCACAGCTTCCTCCACCTTCTCGCGCTGCAGCAGCTCCTGCCCGCCCTCCGCACTTGTCCTCCCGCTTATGGACACAGTTGTCACGTGTCTCCGGCTCTGTTCTTGGCTCCAGCCCTCTCTAGTGGGGCCCCTGTGCCAGTTGCTTAGGGCACTGATATGTGTCACTGGTCCACTGACTATATATAGCTTCCTAACTTGTTTTTCTAATCCACTCTTACCTTCCTCCTACCCGTGTCTACACTGCAGCCAAAGGAATCTTTTAAAAACACAAATCTGACCGTGTGTCTTCTCCACTTCAGACTCCCCAGCAGCCTACCACAGAGGCAGGGTCTGAGGGTGGAGACCGGTGTCCCTGCTTGGCTTCATCCTGCCTGTCGCATCACCAGAACCCTGCTTCCCTGCCCACGACTCTCCTCCACCTCCTGCCAGCAGCCCTCTTCTTTTCTGACCTTTGTTTCTTCTTTTCTGACCTTCGTGTATGCTGTTTCTTCTGTGGAATGCTGCTTTCTCCCTGCAGCCATCCCTCCTTGTCCAGTTACTGTCCGGTCACTTTGCACATCTCAATTCTGCACCATTTCCTGCAGGAGCCTTTCGAGGTTCTGGTGTTCATACCGACCTGCCCTCCTTTTCTTTCCGAGCCCTTGTTAAGCTGTGACTCTTTATCAAGTCCTGCTTCTGTGGCTAGTACTGGCCTGTGGAGCTCAGGAGACCAGGGACCCTGTCTGGTCACCGTATTCTGTCCCTCGTGCCTAATACAGTGCTTGCCTTGTGGTATTTTTCATTGTTTGTTGAATAAATGAGAAAATACCATCCTTGCACATGTACTTTTATTTTTATGAAAATAAAACTATCAAAGCTTTGTGAAGAATGGAAAACAGAAGTACAGCACGAGCCAGGTCAACAGAAGGTATAATGTAAAGTTTAAGGAAACCTGAACATTTTGGTATAAGCTGTTGGCATATATGACTTAACTAAATCTTGCTTTTAAAATCCTGGTGGAGGAAATTTTTGTTTTATGCGAGGTGGGTGCCCCTCTTGTCAGAAAGCCCCAGGCCTTTTACTTCAACCAGAATTCATACTATACATTGTCTTCCAGTCTGTGTCCTAACTCTTGAAAATTGCTTTTTTTTTTTGGTTTGCTTTTCCTATGACCAAATGGACAGAGAAGGGAAAGGCTGTCATATCTGAGAGAGGTTTGCTGTATGAGCTTTTGCCGTATAGTACTATAGTCTTTCACTTTTGCAATCACTTTTTAATGATCACTCTTGTGTTCATTCCTTCTGCAAATACCTGTTGTGTGTCTGCTGTATGCCAGGCACCATTCTAGGCCCTAGGGACATGGATGGATGGGTGGATGGATGGATATGGATGGATGGATGGATATAGATGGATGGATGGATATAGATGTATGGATATATGGATGGGTAGATGGATAGATAGATAGATAGCAAGAAGTGCCTGGTTCCCCTTCCAGCAGACAGCTCATATAGCATTTGTTGGTGGTTATACAACTCTAGTGCCAAGTGATAGGTCTCTTCTGTAAAGCATTTCTCTTTAGAGGGACATTCAGCTTAATTTAGATTATAGAGTTGTATAAAGTTCTAGCTTTCTTCAATAAACATCAATATTAATGATTTTAAAGTAGAGTAAGATTGACTAAAGTACTTCTTCAAACCACATTATTAGTTTATTTTGAAGAGAATATGTGATGTTTATATGGTTAGGCCTAATTAAGCTCAGAGAGGAAGCCTTAAATCAGGGAGGGACATTACACTGAATTTCCAAGCTCTGCTGTTGGAAAATAAAAGAATGTGCAATTCATTACCATGGTTATTTGTTAGGATATCAGTTCAGCTCTAATAGTGGCTGCAACCATGAATTATACTTTATCTCTTGATATTTTAGTCTTTTACTCCTATCATCAGTCATTATATGCACTTAAGAGCCAGTAGAACACTTGAACAGGTTTTCATTGGTAACCAAAGTGTGAGCTTTTACTAAGGTTTTTAATAGATTTTGAAAGATTCATACCACCTGCCTTAGTTCCCAACAATGCTGGATTTTCATGTACAAACCCGTTTGACAATCACCACTTGTTAAAATTAAATGAAGTCCTTCATCCTTTGTTATCTTGTCAACTAAAATATTTCAAAGTTGTTATTTATAAACCATAATGAAATTATATTTTTTCATTTGATGCTATCTTTAACTTTGCTGCCTCACAAGTACATAGTGCAATGAATTAGTAGCAACTTACTCACATCTGTATTCTTTTGGTTTTCAAGTCACTGCCCAGAAGTATGGTGTCTCGCCTTTGTGAATCAAAAAAGGTTTGTGCTGCAGCTGATATGCAACTTCAGGTATGTGCCCGTGTTCTGAAGTTTTTCCGAGTGATGATTATTCAAAATAAATATATGACCTTAAGTCCTTGCCAATGCTACACATTTATTATAATAATTATACTTCTAAAACTTCTTTCATCTGAGTTCAAAGGACTTGACCAAAATTGACTCATCCAGTCCTCACACTGTCCTTAGAAATGGATGTTAAGTAAGGTTATTTCCCATTTTCAGTCGGGAAAATCAAAGCTTGAAAAGTTACATGACTTCTAAGTCACTCCTTTCAGTCATTAGCCATGCTATGTATTTTTATTCACTTTGCATCTTTTTAAAAATGTGTGTGTTTAGATAGGAAGTTTAAACAGTGATGACTTAGTTTTAGGCAATATTCAAGACCACTTTTCCAGGTTTCCAGATGAAGAATAGAAAATTTTCAGGGACCGTCTTGATTTCAGGTGTATTTGGTTGTTTGTAGTTACTAAGATTGTGATTGTTTATGGAAGTCTTTCTCTTCATCAGATCTTGAGAGTTATATAAACAGACCTTAAACACCCATCTTTCATCTCAGGCCATATTCACTTCATAATGATCCAGTTACCTATTTAAAACTGTAGCCATTACTTAATTGCTTTATAGTTTTGTAAAATTCAGTGCTTATGAGCTCTGGTTTTGTTGTACCTTACAATATATATTTCAGTGAAGAAAATACGTACTATAGACAAAATCATGAATTCATGATTGACTTACATTATTTAATGTCTATTCCTATCAATGTAGTTGAAAAAGGATTCCTGAATTATTTGAAAAAAATTAGCATTTCTTGGCAAAAGTCTTTGGAGTTGCTGATATCTACAGTGGAAATTCTACCTTTTAAAAGTGTGTGCTGTGGCTTGCATTTTGAACAATTGTTCCAGTGATTTTCTTCTAAAATGGAAAGCCCTCCCAGCCTCCCAAAGGGATAGCCTCCTTAGAGAGAGGGGGTAGGAGGGAGAGATTGGAAGAGAAAGGAAGGTGGGGGTGGGGAGGGGGGAAATTCTTGCCGTGGAGCTGCTGCTTCCAGCTTCCATATGACACAATAGTCCCCGTGTGCAGTGAAGACAGATAAGGGAGGAAAGGAAATGAGCCTTTCGGACTTTTGAGACGGTATTAACAGTGTTTTTAAAATTGTGAATTTTTTTTGTCATGCATTGTTTTAAAATTAGACTCATAGTTTTCTGAGCCTCTAAGGTTCTTAGTCCCAGGCAAACTTGAAGCCTTATGTGCATGGGTAGACTCATCACTTTAGAATTGTTTGGTTTATCAGCAAGTGAGCTTAAAAGCTATACACTTCGAATTTATTTTGCTCCGTTTTTTTAATTTAAAAAAAGTAATTCCATGTTTATGCCTTCTATTTGTGAAAGGTGTAAGTGAAGGAATGAAACGCTTGAATTCTGATTTGTTTGGAGGTCGGAGCAAAGATCCTTCTCAGTTGAGATTATAATTTAAGAGTTCCTAATAATTTATTCTGTTAGAATATAGACAAGACATAGACAAGTAGTCTTGGCTCCTCTGATTAGCTTTATGCATTGTTATTCACTGTAGAATATAGACCTGAAAGAGCTGTATTCAGCTATATGTTTAGATTACCAGTTAGAGTAGAACAATATTTTTATTTAGGAAATGTCTGTATTTTTCTAGGGAAGGTTTAAACTTGACTTTATAATTTAGAAGCATAATTCTATATCTAGATGAAGCCAGAAGCTAGAGGTCATTTAAATTTTTTCTTTATCCAAACTAATCCTCAGTTCTTTCAAGTCAACAGCTGCACATTCTCTACAAATTCCATTTTTGAAACAGAAAGATACATATCAGAAACATAATTGCATGTGAGACTTTTTCCTTTGAAATAAAGCATTTTCTACATTCTTGCTTCAGGTGAACTCCAAACAATGTTAATAGTCAAAAATTACAGTGAAAAGGCATTTTACTTTAGACTATCTTTGTAAAAATCAGTTTTCAGCACTCTGTAAGCAGCAGGTTTCATGTTCAGACTTCTTCTGGTGCTTTATTCTCCTGTTACATTTCGGTGACCCAAGTCCTCCGCTCAGAGGTGAGTGAGCCTTCCCTCCCGGTCACCTCGTTAAGCCAGAATTGTCCCCGCACAGCAGCTGCTTCCTCTGTGCCTCTGACACCCGATGTGGGGTCTGCGCCAGAATCTCCAACAGCTGCTCAGAATTCTTTGTAACATCTGTACTCACCAGATGCGAGGTTGCTATTCCATTCTCCACCTCCCACCTATTCAGAGAGTTGAAGGTTCTTTCAACTCTCATCACAAAACTTGGGTTCTGACCATTTCATGTCTCTCATTAAGATATATGAGGATGCCAGGAAGAAACCAAACAGGATTTATTAGGTCTAGAGGGTCACAAGTTATAACTTAATTTTTTCCTATTTCAAACTATATATTTTGCCTATATATGTGTGTGTATGTGTGTGTGTATACATATATATATATATATGATTTAGCTAATGAATGCATATATACATATATGCAATATAGGCAAATGCCAATTTTGTGATCACTAATTTGCTGCACTGTATGTAAAGAGTACCATGTAAATTAGGTTCAGAATTCTTTAATAATCTTAGTTATGAAAAGGCTGAGAGCTTTCCTTTTCATCATTAATATGGCCTTAAATGGGGTACAGAATATATCTCAAGCCATATACATTTATATCTGTGGATGTATTCAACTGTGATTTATAATTATTACTTTGGTACACTGATACCATCTTCGGTCAGCCATGTCTTCAGTACAAGGACGGACTACCCACTCTGACCTGGTGTTTTCGTCCGGCTAGGTCTTCTATGCTACTCTGGATCAGATCTACCATGGGAGGCATCCCCTGAGGAGCTCCACCACAGACATTCTCAAGGAAACACAGGAGAAATGTTACGGCTTACCCTATGTTCCAAATACTGTGAGTCTGGCGTTTTGACCCTGGTGTGTGTCACTGGGCGGTTCTTCTGTCGTGCCCGTCGGACAGTAGGGCACGATCGCCTTCCCCTTTGCAGAAATCCTCACATTGGTGTCAAGGTCCCATATGGGGCAAAGGTTAGAAATGCTTGGCTCGTGTACTGCCTCATCCATCCATTGGTTTGTGCTTATTTCTTCCTGCTAACAGTGTTTTTTGAGATTCATGAAAAAGTGGGGGCTTAAAAAAGGTCTTTGGAGTTTACCTATATTCTTTTCCATTGTTTTTCTATAATGAGAAAAATGGTTAGCAATACAAGATGAATGATCATCAACCCTAATCATTTTCATTGCAAAGAGAATTAGCATTTACAGAGGGCCTGAATGGTGCCAGGGATTATATTAGATGTCTTACATATCTGATCCCAGTGAGTGCCCTGCCGGGATGGAGAGCAGAAGTATTGTTACCATTTATTGAGTACGAGGTGCCAGACTCTAGTTGTTTGAGAAAACATCTCTTCCTTAACTCTCAGCCCCACAAATTAGGTAAAATCCCCATATTTGGGCTCATATTGAGGCTCACATGCATTGTATGTCTTGCCTAAGATCTCTTGGGTAGTAAGTGACTGTGTTGGGATTTAAAACCAACCTCTAAAGCCATGCTTTCTTCATCGCTCCAGGGCTCCTGCAAGGAAGCTGGGAGTGGGGCAGAGTACTGGCCGGTGCAGTTAGCAATGTGACTGACCCTTTTCTATTACTCAGGACTCTCAGTTTCAAGTAATAGAAACATGATTCGTATTGGCTTAAGCAGCAAAGGGAATTTGCTGAGTCTCAAAATTGAAAGGTGTAGGGGTCGGTCTGGTTTCAGGCAAGTTGGATCTAGTCAGTTCCTACAGACCATCATTAGAAGTGTTTCTCTTTCTTTTCATTTCTCAATTCTGTTTTCTTCTGGGTGGTTTGTTCTCAGGCAGGCTGCCCTGACTGATGGTGTGGTGGCTACACGTAGGTCCAGTTTTCTGTCCTTCTAGCTTAGCCAGCCTAATACAAAGAGAACTGATTTGAAAGTGCTCTGTAAACTGGAAAATGCCGAGTACATGTGGGTTTATTTGTTACAGTACCAGATACCAGCACATGCTGTGCTAAGAGATTAGCACTGAAGAGATTAACTGAAGTTAATCAGTAAACTGAACTATAATCTCCCACTATATCTTCAGGCCCTAATACTGAAACATGCATGGGAAGAGTTCATATCTACCAGGCAATAAACTACCAGGGTGTTTTATCTTCCCTTGTCTATGGCTTTGATTGACTTAGAATCTTACTCACTTGCTCCAGATACATCATGCTAGTTATACTACCTGTCTTTGACCCTACATGTAATTTACTGTTCTAATGCTCTGTACGGTTGAGCTCTGGATTATCTATTAGTGAGAATGTCTAGTAATAAGAATAATCTATCAGTGGAATAAATCATAATAACAGTTGCCTAGATTTTAATAGGTTTTTCCAGGTTATAGATCATTGCCTCATTCACGTGCTTTTGTGTTTGTGCAGTTTTGTGTGCATTTTATGTTCTTTTCTGCTTCTTTGCTTAGCTTTGAAATGCAAGTGACTTAAACTCCCTGTAGTTACAACTGCAGTAAGCAGTGAAGTCATAGGCAGGCCAGGATCAGGGGGAACTGGGGTACTTCCCAATGCTGCAGAACTTCGACTTGGCAGAGTGGCTTGCTCCCGCTTTTCTTTCTCATAGGTCTGACAATGCTTTGGTCTTGAATAGAACTCAAACTTCCTTACCATCTGGGTTTCTTCTGTGTAATAGTTAAATATACAAAGATGAGGTCACAGTGACAAACAAATTCTAATACAGCAGTAGATTGTTTTTAATTTAGAAGGAAGGATGTTGTTAATTCTACTATCCTTGTCCTAGTTCCTTTTGAGAAAATATAAAGGTTTATTTCTTCACAGGAATTATTTTCCCTATTCATTGTCAGTAGCCATAGCTCTTTGAGTAAGTTGTTTTAAAAGGTCTTTACAAGAAGCATAGCTACATTTAGGGAAGAAAGACATTCTTTTAAGACTTGTCTTTTTTTTTAATGTCCGAGAAGAGCTTGTTTAGATTTGCATGTTCTATTCTTAGAAACTTCTGCATTTCCTCATTCATTTGTCAGTTCATTCTGTAAACCTATAACATTCTCATAAAAAATAAAGAATAAAATGAGGGTATTTATGGGAATTCTTCAATGCAACATTCATCAGGGTAGTAAGACAAGGAAAAGAAAAGATATAAGCTTTGGAAAGGAAGAAACAAACTCATTATTTGCAGATGATTGCTGAGGAAATCAAAAGTATCTATAGTCAAATTATTAAAATTAATGAGAGATTAGCAACTTTTCTAGGTAAGCAATCAATACATAAAAATTTATTCCATCTCTGTTTACCATCAATAAGCTGAAAAGAAATTTAAAGATTCTATTATGGTAACAAAATGTATGAGATACCTACTAAAATATCTAAAAGAAAAAAGTGTATTACCTTTATATTCAAAAACCTAAATGAAGAAATGAGCCATATTTATAGACAGGAAAATTAAATATCAAAATGGTATCAATTTTTCTCCAATTAATCTATACATTTAATGTAATATAATTCTATTTATTCGAATCTAACAAGCTGATTATAGAATTTTATGTGAAAGAACAATGGCCCAAGAATGGCTGTGGCCACACTGAAGAACAGCAGCAAATTGGTAGACTTGCCCTCTCAGGATTAGCCTTCAGGTGAAGCTGTAGGAATTGAGGCGGTGTCCTGCTCATGTGGGGCTGCCCAGAGAGCACTGGGGACAGAAAAGAGCCCAAAGGCCGACTGAGCGTGTTTCTGGACTCCTGAACATACGCTGGGTGGCACCGCAGCTCTGTGGGCAAAGAAGGGACTCTTTCTTAAAATGGTGCTGTAGTGATTGATCACCCACATGGAAAAGATCTCAATACATGTCTCATACTGCACACAAGTAAAGTGGGCTAAAGACCCAAATGTGAGAGGTAAAGCTTTAAATTTGTAGAATATAATACAAATGTCTTTCTGATAGTCCCTTTTTGTACTTGCTTAGATTATCTTATATCTTTTAATATAAAAGGCATTAACCATAAAACAAGACTGATAATTCAACTATTTTAAAATTTGAGTCTTCTCTTAATCAAAGAAACAAGTAAAAAATAATGAAAAGAAAAGTGCAAACTGGAAGTAGATTCTTTCAGTATGTGTAATTTGGAAAGTATATATTTTCCTTTCTTTAATTATATCCTTTTACTGTGGTAAAAAGCAACACAACATAAAAAAATCACCCTGGAAAGGGAATATTTTTAAAATGCTTGGAATTGGCAAGTACATGGACAGGTAAGAAGCCGTATAAAATGACCCCCATATTAATCAGGGAGTGCAGATTCAAATCACTTTAGGATATCATTTTACTCTTACCAGTTTGGCAAAAAGAATCAAACAATTGGCAGTACCCAGTGTTGACAAGGGCATGGAGTCACACGTGCAGGCTGGAGCACCCATGTTGAACCTGGGTGTTGCCTGTCAGAGTTGAAGATGAACAAACCCTATGACACAGCAGCTCAGCTCGTACATGTAACCTGTAGACATCATCTTATGTACCAGGTGTTATGAAATGGAAGGTTTGTAGGAGCACTGTTTGTAGATGGGAAGAAAGGGGCAGGTAGGGTCTGGAAAGAACCCGAGAGATTGTAACAGGAAAGTACATAAATTGGAACACATTCTTCAGCTGCGATACTATTCATCAGTGGAAATTGAGGAACACAGATGATGAGCTTAACAGGCACAATATAAAGTATAAAAAGTCAGAAGAATTAAACTGTCCATTTATAATGCGGTTCAAAATGTGAACTAAGCAGTATATTATCATAGATACATAAGTAGTAAAACTATAAAGAAAAGGGAAAGAATAATAAACACAAGATTCAGATGGTGCATCTGGAGTAAGGAAAGGGACCACAAAGTCTTGGAAATATTGTAGTTCTTAAGTGATTAGAAGGGAGATCATTGATCATTTTGTCATTCTTTTTACCTTATTAGTAGAAATATATTCTTGGCATATATAAGAAGTATTTCTAAATGTTGAAAAGTTATTTTGGCTGCAATATATGGGGTAAAGGATGGATTTAGGGAGAGCAGTTGGGGAGTTACTGACCGAGCTGGGCAAAGCTGATGGCAGCTTAAACTAGGATAAGACACCATGGACATGGAAAGACTGAAATGGGTCTGAGAACAGTTAGAAGGCAGGATGAGCACAGTTGATAGGAACTTGGCTGACGTGGCTGTAGGGTAGCGAGGGAGAAGCATGAATCAGGAATGACTGCAAGGTTTTTACTGGGAAACCAAGTAGAGGGTGACTATATGGTATGTCTTCCCATGCAGGCCAAAGAGTCACAGTTCTCCCAATAAACTTATCTCCAGAAAGGGTTTCTCCCAAATGGATCCTTTTATTCCCTCAAATTAAGCAATGAGAAAAAAAGGAAATATAAACAACCTCCAGAGTATTTGTAGTATTTACAGAGCCTGTATGAATTATATGTACATTATGTGATCTAAACTTTTAAACAAGGATTATATCCATATTCACACCTCTTTAAGTACGTGAATAACTTGTTTTGGGAATAAAGTGTTGCATCAGTTACATGTTGGCATGTTAGGCTTCTTGCTGCAGGACATCTCAGTATATGCAATGTGCCAATGAACATTATGAGTCTCTAGTGCTCTGTTCCCAGACTTATTAACCATGGATCATCACAGTTTATTTCTAGGCACTATCCCTCTTTGGGTCATATTTTGGAAAAATGCACTTATATTCTGCAACTGTTGAACAGGGGCAGTTCCACCAATATTCCACAATAAATAATGGATGCTTATTTTCAAGTGAATGAATAGCCTTATTATGTCAGCAATTTATTAATATTTATGTGAACAGTAAAGTACTCTGTATAACAAGAAGACAGGTTTAATTAGTACTTTCTTGCTGTT